GAGGAGGAAAGGGGGAGAGACTGAAACGGGGAGGAGAGAGAGCTTGAGGGGGGAAAAGAAAGAACGAAAGGAGCTCTGCGTTAGCAGAGCCAAGACTGATTTCACTAAGACGCAGGCCTCCTCCTCGGCGGGCCGGATAAATGCCCTCGGGGGGCCGCATCCGGCCCCCGGGCCGTAGTTTGGGGACCCCTGGTCTATGGACAATGTTGGCTCTTTGGCTTAGAAATGGAGACGAGCACCACCCCACAGACCAAGCGTGATCCCTGGGGAAGGCAATGGCAAACCACTCCAGTATCCTTGCCAATAAAACTAAATGGACCAGTACAACCAGAGATATGTCGGTATGCCATTGGAAGATGGGACTCCCAGGTCGGAAGATGGCCAAAATGCTACTGGGGAGGAGCAGAGGATAAGTTCAACTAGCCCCAGATGTGATGACGCAGCTAGCTCAAAGCCGAAAGGAAGGCTAGCGGCCGACGGTACTGGAGGTGAACGACGAATCCGATGCTTAAAGATCAACACACCATAGGAACCTGGAATGTAAGATCTATGAGCCAGGGAAAATTGGATGTTGTTATTGGTGAGATGTCAAGACTAAAGATAGACATTCTGGGGGTCAGCGAACTGAAATGGACTGGAATGGGCCACTTCACATCAGATGACCACCAGATCTACTACTGCGGACAAGAGGAACATCGAAGAAATGGAGTAGCCTTCATAATTAATAAGAAATTCGCTAAAGCAGTGCTTGGATACAACCCAAAAAATGACAGAATGATCTCAATTCGAGTGCAAGGAAAGCCTTTCAACATTACAGTGATCCAAATATATGCCCCAACCACAGATGCTGAAGAAGCAGAAGTAGATCAGTTCTATGAGGATCTGCAGGACCTACTGGATAATACACCAAAAAGAGACATTATTTTCATTACAGGAGACTGGAATGCCAAGGTGGGAAGTCAAATGACAACTGGGATCACAGGCAAGCATGGTCTGGGAGAACAAAATGAAGCGGGACGCCGGCTGATAGAATTTTGCCAGGAAAACTCGCTGTGTATAACGAATACTCTCTTCCGACAACCTAAAAGACGGCTTTATACATGGACCTCACCAGATGGTCAACACCGAAATCAGATTGACTACATCCTTTGCAGCCAAAGGTGGCGGACATCCATCCAGTCGGTGAAAACAAGACCTGGGGCTGACTGTAGCTCAGATCACGAACTTCCTATTGCCCAATTTAGAATAAAACTAAAGAGATCAGGGAAAATACACAGACCAGTTAGATATGATCTCACTAACACTCCTAGCGAATATACAGTGGAAGTGAAGAACAGATTTGAAGGACTAGATTTAGTAAACAGAGTCCCAGAAGAACTATGGACAGAAGTCCGCGACATTGTTCAGGAGGCGGCAACAAAGTACGTCCCAAAGAAAAAGAAAACCAAGAAGGCAAAATGGTTGTCTGCTGAGACACTGGAAGTAGCCCAAGAAAGGGGGAAAGCAAAAGGAAACAGGGATAAGGGGAGATATGCCCAGTTAAATGCGCAATTCCAGAGGTTAGCCAGAAGAGATAAGGAACTATTTTTAAATAAGCAATGCATGGAAGCGGAAGAAGACAACAGAATAGGAAGGACAAGAGACCTCTTCCAGAAAATTAGAAACATTGGAGGTAAACTTCAGGCAAAAATTGGTATGATAAGAAACAAAGATGGCAGGGACCTAACAGAAGCTGAAGAGATCAAGAGAAGGTGGCGAGACTATACAGAAGATCTGTATAGGAAGGATAATAATATCGAGGATAGTTTTGATGGTGTGGTGAATGAATTAGAACCAGACATCCTGAGGAGTGAGGTTGAATGGGCCTTAAGAAGCATTGCTAACAACAAGGCAGCAGGAGACGACGGGATCCCAGCTGAACTGTTTAAAATCTTAAAAGATGATACTGTCAAGGTGATGCATGCCATATGCCAGCAAATATGGAAAACACAAGAATGGCCATCAGACTGGAAAAAATCAACTTATATCCCCATACCAAAAAAGGGAAATGCGAAAGACTGCTCAAACTTCCGTACAGTGGCCCTTATTTCTCATGCCAGTAAGGTAATGCTCAAGATCCTGCAAGGTAGACTCCAGCAATACATGGAGTGAGAGCTGCCAGATGTACAAGCTGGGTTTAGAAAAGGCAGAGGAACAAAGACCAAATTGCCAATATCCACTGGATAATGGAGAAAGGCAGGGAGTCTCAGAAAAACATCTATTTCTGTTTTATTAAAGCCTTTGACTATGTGGATCATAATAAATTGTGGCAAGTTCTTGTGGTATGGGCATACCAAGCCACCTTGTCTCTCTCCTGAGGAATCTGTACAAGGACCAAGTAGCAACAGTCAGAACTGACCACGGAACAACAGACTGGTTCAAGATTGGGAAAGGCATCCGGCAAGGCTGCATCCTCTCACCCAACCTTTTTAACTGTATGCAGAACACATCATGCGATGTGCGGGGCTGGATGAATGCAAAGCTGGGGTGAAAATTGCTGGAAGAAACATTAACAACCTCAGATATGCAGATGACACCACCGATGAAGCGAGGAGGAGCTGAGGAGCCTTCTAATCAAGGTGAAAGAAGAAAGCGCAAAAGCTGGGTTGCAGCTAAACGTCAAAAAAACCAAGATTATGGCAACAAGAATGATTGACAACTGGAAAATAGAAGGGGAAAATGTGGAGGCCGTGACAGACTTTGTATTTCTAGGGCAAAGATTACTGCAGATGCAGACTGTAGCCAGGAAATCAGAAGACGCTTACTTCTTGGGAGTAGAGCAATGTCCAGTCTCGATAAAATAGTTAAGAGTAGAGACATCAGACTGGCAACAAAGATCCGCCTAGTCAAAGCCATGGTATTCCCTGTAGTAACCTACGGATGTGAGAGCTGGACCTTAGGGAAGGCTGAGGAAGATCGATGCTTTTGAGCTGTGGTGTTGGAGGAAAGTGCTGAGAGTGCCTTGGACTGCGAGAAGATCCAACCAGTCCATCCTCCAGGAAATAAAGCCCGACTAGCTCATTGGAGGGAAGGATACTAGAGACAAAGTTGAAGTACTTTGGCCACATCATGAGGAGACAGGAAAGCTTGGAGAAGACAATGATGCTGGAGGAAATGGAAGGAAAAAGAAAGAGAGGCTGACCAAGGGCAAGATGAAAGGGTAGTATCCTTGAAGTGACCGGCTTGACTCTGAAGGAGCTGGGGGTTGGTGACAGCCGACAGGGAGCTCTGGCGTGGGCTGGTCCATGAGGTCACGAAGAGTCGGAGACGACTGAACGAATGAACAACAACAACAACACCACCCCACAGAGTTGGACAGAACTAGACTTAATGTCAAAGGGAAACCTTTACCCTTACTTATTAATCTTTTTGGGAAAAGGGGGGCACAAAACACAAATGGAAGAGATTTTTTGAATATCCTGTTAGCAATAAACACCTATTAACCTCACACATCACTAGCTGTCTTTTTGCAATGTTTTCCTTGCAGCTTTATCTATCACTTTCCAAAATAATTGCAGGAAAACTATGGGTCTTAAAAAGCAATATTGAAAAGGAGAAAGGAGAAGGGGGCAGAACAACCTAAGCCAGATAGCATTTGTCAATCTCAGATTCAAAAGAAAGGTTGGCAGATTTGGTGATTGAAGAGGCCGCTTTTCAAAACAGGCATGCTAAACAAAGTACAGCCATTACCACAGTGTTTTTAATTTAGGAAGAAAGCAACCTGCAAATCTGCTAAGCTTCACCTCCTAGCTCTGCTACAACTCCGAGATCTGCTTGGTTTCGTTAGCTTGGATAATCCTGGCTTCCTCAAAACAGTGAACCTTGGAGTCACCTGGAGATTCAGAGCTACAATCCAGTGAGCAGAAGCCCAAAGCAATTACGGGTCGAGAGGGCCCAAGGCAGCCGAGGAACATGTGACCTGGGACTCTCGAAATGCTTTTTGAGATGTGACAGCAGTGTGATTACCGTTTTGTATTATCTTTCATCCAGAAGAGAGAACTGAGGGATAGGAACCTGCCTTTTTGACAGGCTATTGTGACATAGCGGCCCATTCCTTTCGCTTGAGATTTTCCGCACAGGTACACACCATTCTGATAGACCAAGAAAAGGGAAGCATGGCAGCAGCAACAACATTCACATCAGTAGTAGCCTAACCATTGGAAAAGGCATGTTTTCACTTGTACAATCCCGTTTTGTGAGTCACCTTGAGTGAGAGCTAGCATAGTATAGTGATTTCAGAGTTGGATTAGGTCTCTAGGAGGCCAAAGTTCAAATCCCTACTCAGCCATGGAAATTCACTGGGTGACTTTAGGGACGTCACACTCTTTTTGCCTTTGAGGAGGGCAATGACATGACTCCTCTGGCTATATCTTGCTAGGAAAATCCTATGGACAAGGTCATATTTATTTATTTATTTAAAATATTTGTATTCCGCCCTTCTCGCTGCACAGGGGATTCAGGGCGGATTACAATGCATATACATAGCAAACATTCAATGTATGACATATATAGACAGACACAGAGACAATTTAACATTCCAGCTTTCCGGCTTCATGAGGGTATGCTCAGGCCACAGGGGGAGTTGCCGCTTCACCATCCACTTATGACACCGAGTCCTTTGATGGAGTACTTCCTCATTCTTCTGCATGCTGCTGGAAGGTTTTATGGTGTCATAAATTAGTTAAATTAGCCTCCCCGCATAAAGCAGTACCTAAATTTTCTACTTGACAGATGCAACTGTCTTTTGAGCTGCATAGGTCAACAGCAAGCTAGATTATTAATGGTCAGGAGCTCACTCCAACCCAGGCTGGCTTTGAATTTATGACCTCTCATTCCATAGCGATTTAATGCAGCTGTCTACTAACTAGCTGTGTCACAGCCCGGTCCATATATGCTCTGAAACAGTGCTCCTTGCAGTCATGCCAGCCACATGATCTAGGAGGTGTCTACGGTGTCTATATGTGCTCACTTCAGCAGCACATATACTAAAATTGGAACAATACAGAGAAGATTAGCATGGCCCCTGCTCAAGAATGACATGCAAATTCACGAAGCATTCCATATTTTTTATACTGATTTGTTGGAAATCGCCTTG